CTGAGAAAAAGAGCAGTGGTGACGGCAGGAGTCGTTTGGTTAGGCCGATGTCATGGAGAGTCCTCCACTTGGATTTGGAGCTATTGGCGTGTTCAATATTATGACGGATATGGTTGTTTTTCCCAGTATCGAGCTCGTTTGAAATGGCAGTTCTTAGAGAGCGATACTGTTGAAGGGCTAAGGATGAGTTGGAGGCTCGAAAGCGTTTGTAGGCTGCGTCACGGATCCGCATTTGGACACGCAGCTTATCAGTCACCCACGGCTTCTTTTTGGAGGAGATGGTAACCAGACGAGAAGGGGCTAGTTCGTCAAAAGCTCCACAAACCGCAAGGGTGAAAGTTCGCTCAAGTTGATCGACTGAGGGAGTGTCTCGACGAAGAATATCACCCAGGTAATCCTGGGAGACCGAGAGCTTGGTGGTGATAAGAGAGTTCAGGACAGATTTATTAAGACGATGGAGAGAACGGGAAGCAAAGGTTTTAGGTTGTTCCTGGGGCGAGGAAAAAAGTATGGATAGCTCAATTAGGTCATGATAAGGTACAAATGGGGAGAGAGATTTGGTGAAGCTAAGGATGTGAGTTGAGGGATTTGTTATAAAAAGATCCAGCGCTGTATGTGTGGTCACTCCACTCTCAGTAATGGGATGGTGTGTAGGCTCGGTGGAGACAACCCTAAGTGCATGTGAATCAATGAGATCGCGCAATGCCAGGACGTGTGGAAGATGTGATGTAAGGTCGGAGTTGAAATCACCAGTGATAATGACATCATTGAAGAGAGGAAGAAAGGAAGAGATGGTGTTGAAGAAAAATGATGGGATTTTGGCGGATGGACGGCGGTAGACAATTGCAAATAAAAGTTTTAGGTGGCATTTATTTTGGATTTCGGCTATCATGAATTCGGGTGAGTTGTTAAACGTGGGATCAGAGGCAGCGAGTAATTTTACTGTCAAACTATTGCGACAATAGAAGCCAACTCCACCACCCTCCTTGCCCTCGCGATCCAGTCGGAAAAAATTGTAATTGGCTAGTACGAGGTGGTCATCAGAGATGACATTACAAAGTTTGGTTTCGGAGATGGCAATAATGTCATATGAACTTGTATGTGCCTGTGCTTCTAAGAGAGAGAAATGCCACGGTACGTTTAGGCCGTTTATGTTGATGTGCGCAACGGTGAGGGAAGATCGAGATGAGATGGAAGTGGTAACAGAATTATTTAGTGGGACCGTTGAATGTCATGAAGTTTGAGCTGGGTTACGGGTTGGCGACTGAGAAGAGGAGGCAGATAAAGTGAAGCTTGGTGTATTTCCAGGCGGTCGGATATGAAGATCAGAGCGAGGGAGTCGGGGATCATGAAGGGGACCGCTAAGAGGAGCGGAAGGCGCGGCCGAAGGGTGAAGGTGGCCTGGGGCTCCCACCGAGGATGCGACTGGTTGGCGAGATGCCAGCCTCGGCAAACCACGTAGATCAGCCTCAGAGACAATAGGGATCAGCTCTGATTGCGGCGTGGCGCGGCAGAAGACCCGCAAGTTTCGCACCACAGGCCACGCGTATCCGAGGTCGTCACTCACTTTTCTGGCCTTGGATAGCAGCTCGAAGACAGGCTTGGGGTAGATTGGACGCAGTAGTACTCGTATACCACCTCCACAGCCAAAGATCGTCTGGGCAGTATGCCCCTTCAGTCTGGACGAAAGCTTGATTATTCTGTCCCGAGAGGATGGCGAATCCAGCAGGAAGGTGAAGGACTTCTTTCGTGCACTTTGGGTCGAGTGAGAGAAGGACTGCGACTGATCCGTGGGCGCAGTAGAGCGAGAGGCAGCGGTGGGATTCCACTCCCTTGTCGCAATGATCGCAGGGAGGTTGTGCTCTCCGCCAAAGCCCAGCGCAATGAGGACAGAAGTAGCGGCCTGGAAGAGGGAACCTTGAAATTCCGCTGGTAACCCATGGACCAAGATTTCAGGCTCGTCGACTATTGCGAAATGGACGTCACGCTCGCGAAACTCATCCTGCGTTTTAGTCCAGAGTCCGCAAAGTTTCTCAAAGCGCTCAGAATTGAGTTGGGCTTCCCTCGCATGCCGCTCCGCGTTAAGCTGCGACTCCCTGCGGAACCACTCAGGTGCCTCAGACATTGCCGAACAATCGGAGTTCCGACCTGTAGTCGGAGGTAGCTCAGATCTGCAGGCTTTGGTGATCGGCAGCGATGATGGCTGAGTTGGTGAGGCTAGACGTTTCCTGGCGTGTGTAATAATAGAGGGGGAGTGTCCTGTTGGCGTAGCGAAGATATCCAAGACGGTATTGGCTAAGGCAGTATCAACCTTCGGCGAGCGGTTGAGGCAGCAGTTAAATTTTGCGGAGTTGTGATTGGCTGGTCTTAAGTTGGGTGAAATGCAACAGCTATAGTACAGGGAATTACAGGAGTTACAGAGGAGGAGTTGATCAGGTCGTCGCACGATCAATCCACACTTGGCACACACGCGGCTTGACATAAATAGGCGAGATAGGTTTAGAAAGAAATGAAGTGTCTATAATAATTTGAATGTTCGCGCGCAATTTCAAGTGGCGCGGATGCGCACGCAACCAACCAGCTATGATAAACTCGGTAGAGTGACCTCTACCGAGGAAAAGCGAATTATCACAGAGGGTGTGGCGGGAAAATCAAATTGCGCGCGAAAATGATGCTCTCAGTAATGCGGAACGCGAAATAGAAATTAGGGGGAAAATTTGGCGCGGAAAATTCGCAAGATGACGCAACCCGACTTAAATATACGTTATAACTTAAGATTAAAATGAATGATTATGAAAATAACAATAAAGATGAAGATGTAAATTACACTAGATGAATCGAGATGAAATGTAGTCTTAAAAATTAAAGTGATCGATTACAGGTTCGCAGTAATGACAAATAATAAAGAAAAATGAACAATACAAGTAGTGGCAAAATGTAGGCAGCACAAGATATTCCTCACTTAACCGACGAGAAAATAGTTGTTCTAGCGATGATATTCGTTGTTGGTAGAGCTAGAACGGCCAGGTAGGTGATGAGATGTCCTGGTGCAATTGTGATGCAGAAATTGATTCAATTAGTAGAGTAACGTATGCAGTGTTGATCCAGGTGAAAGAGGTTAGGTGATGCTGGTTGCACAAGTAATGCAAATTCCAGGGCAGAATGCAAATAATTATGCGTAAAACAGCGTACACTTGTTAGCCCCGTGGAAGATGCACTACCTGGAACAGTTTGCTCGAAGGTATGATGCCAGATGATTAAATAAACTGAATTTGTTGAAGAGCCGTTGAAAAGATGCTGTGATGCTTACCAGAGAGAGAGAGAGAGAGAGAGCGAGCCAGACTGGGCCCCGTCACAATAATACAATATGTATAAAATATGCAAAGCAGCACGTAACACAAAACTGTACTATCAAAGAAAAAATTAAAGAAGTAAGATGTGTAAATTGCTAAGGAAACCACACTGCAAGCTATGAAGGATGTCCAATTCGCAAACAACTGCAACAAAAATTATTTCCTAGGCTGAAAGAAAGTTACATTAATAACAGTAAATAAGAGCAACCAAACATTAATACTAATACTAATTCAAATTTAAATACAACAGTATCAGACCAAACATGACATATGCCCAAGTGATATCAAAACAAAACAATCAAAACATAACAACAGCAGAATTAAAAGATTTAAATTGACAGGTAGAGCCAAATATTCACTCAAACAACGACAATAACACAAATAAACTTGAACATATAATGGAACAGCTAATGCGAAGAATGGACACTATGTTAAATCTTTTAACTGTTCTAGTTAACAAAATAGCACAATGAACAGCCTAAAACTCGCTATCTGGAACGTAAATTGACTTATTCAGAGGCACCTGGAATTAAAAACATTTCTAATCTACGAAAACATAGACATCATGTTGATTTCAGAAATGCATTTTACAAGTAATAACTATCTTAACATACCAAATTATACTGTACACAAAACGAATCATCCGCTTAATAAAGCACACAGAGGTACTGTGATCACAATCAAAACAAAAATAAATCACTACATCCACTCACACATTAGCGAAATCAATCTACAAGCAATCAGTGTAAACATTACAGACAAAAACGGACCGATAACAATATCAGCTGGTTACTGTGCTCCACACAAAACAATTACTACAGAAAACTGGACAGACTTTTTCAAAGCTTCAAAACTTGGTGGCGATTACAATGCGAAGCATCTGTGGTGGGGATCTAGATCATCAACTCTAACATTTAGAGGCAAAGTCTTCTATGAAATAGTACAAAAAAATAATTTCATCTCGATATCATCTGAAGAACCAACATACTGGCCTACAGACATAAACAAGCTCCCGGATTTGATTGTCTTTGTTATAGTAAAGGGTATAAACAAGAATTATTTTGTAGTGTCATCATGCTTAGACTTGTCATCAGAATACTCGCTGATATTGATTACATTACATCAACAAGTATTTAAAAATGAATATGAACAAACTAAAGTTGATTGGAAAAAATATGCCTTCTATATAGAGGAATTCATAACGTGTAACATTCCTCTTAAAACAGCCACAAATATTGAAGACAGCATAAATTTAGTCAATCTCCTACTAATTAAATCAATAAGTAAATACTCTGCAGAAATAAATAACAATAAAACACAACAAAATACGTCCAATAAAATAGCCCAAAAAATAAAAAAACGATCGTTAAGAAAAAGATATCAGATAACCAAATCAAGCTAAAATAAAACAAGATAAATAAACTTAACAATTGTTTTCATGCGTCTCTGCTATTTTCTTTCTCAGTGGAAAGTAGTAGAGATTGTCTTAATACCTAAACCTATTAAAGAATCAGAAATGGTGACTTCATATAGATCGATTAGCCTTTTCTCAGCAGTCTCTAACATTTTTGAAAAATTCATAGTAGCTAGAATTAACCCAATAATACTAAATAGAAAACTTATCTCCGATCATCAATTCGGTTTCAGGTGTAATCACTCTACGATCGAGCAAGTAAACAAATTAGTATTTGTTGCGAGGAAAGCCATCGAAGATAAACAGCACTGCACTGGTATATTCCTGAGTGTTACACAAGCTTTCGACAAGGTTTGGCATGAAGGGCTGCTTCATAAGCTGAAGACTTTTTTTCCGGTACCCCACTAAAAATTGTTGCAGTCATATCTACAAAATCGAGAATTCCAAGTTGAAATAAATACATACATAGGTCTTGCTAAGACCTTTCAAATGTTGTAAAACATAATTGATTTTATTTGTTTTTTGTACAACTTGTGACGTCATAAACAAATTGTTTTTTTTTTAATTTTTTCACATCAACTTCGACCCTGATTTATTTATATAACGGATTCTACGATGGAAAAACTGTATAAGCCATTCGATAGAGCTTTCAAAAAGCTACAAAATCCATATCCGGAAAATTTTTTTACCTTTATTTTTTATGAGCTATATGGTGTTTTATACAAAAACAAAGATTTTCAAAAAATCGGCTGTATTTTTTTTATTTTCAACTCTAAAGAAAAAACTCTCAAAAGAAAAAATGTAGTATTTTGCAAGAGCTATCAAATGCGCCACTCAGAATTAAAAAAAAAAAATTTTTTTATTCACGTTTTTTAGAATTGAAATTTTTCTAGAAAAAAACTGAAATTACATATATTTAATAAAATTAGTAAGTAACTAGTATTTATAACTGAATGGGCTTACAAACAATGATAACAAGATACATTTATTGAACCATAATTTATTACTTACTCAGAATAGATTAACATAATTTGGTTACAATTTTTCTACAAAATTTATTTATTACAACGTTTCAATAATAACAGAACAATAATAATTTCATTTTTTATAATACTAATAACGCTTGTAATTAATATATAATCTGAATATAAATTTCAGTTGTAAACAAAAACGAAACAATACTAATTATTTAAACGTTTTTTTTGATCGAAATGTCCACCTTTGTTTGCTATAACTACTTTACAAATTCGAGGCATTCGTGCTACAAGTTTCTCTAAAGTTTCTGCACTTATTTTTTTCCACTCATTTTCTAAGATATTCTAAAGATCCTTTTGGGAAGTAGGTCCTACCTTCCTTACAGCTAGATCATCCAACAACAGTTCGATCAGGAGAGTACGGTGGCCATTCCATCACAACTAATTTTTTTTTTCTCCAATTGAGCAAGATAACTTTTACATAACTTTGAAGTATGCTTTGGGTCGTTATCTTGTTGGAACGTAAATTTGCGACCAATTATTCTTGTTCCGGAAGATACAACATTTTTTTCAAGAATTTTTTTGTAACCTTCTTTTTTCAACTTGCATCAATTTTAAGAAGGTCACCAACCTTAGAATCACCAAAACAACCCCATACCATTACTGAGCCGCCACCATGTTTAATCGAAGCATACATATTTTTCTCTAAATGTTTTTGCTTATTTTTTCTCCGCACAAAACATCTGCGTTTACTACCAAAAACCTCGAATTTGCTCTCATCAGACCACAAAACTTTTTTCCAATCATCAATGGTCCAAATTTTATGTTTTCTGACCCAAGCCAATCATTTCTTTTTATTAATCGGTTTTAGTAAAGGCTTTTTAATTGCTATTCGACCGTATAGTCCATCTTCATGAAGTCGTCTCTTTATCGTAGTAACACTAAGTTTAACATCATACGCTTTTTGAGTTTCAACAGCAAGTTCGGGTGCCGTGAGTCTTGGATTATGTGCACTTGTACTACAAATGTGTTTATCAGTAGCGCTCGTAGTTTTCCTAGGCCTTTCTAAAATTTTTTTGTTTTTGATATTTCCTTGAGTTATGAATTTTTTAATGTTATAATCAACTGTTCTTCTTGGAATATTCAAAATTTTGGAAATTTCATTATTACTTTTATTCACTTTATGCAAGGCTACTATCTCAGATCGCTCTTCAATGCTTAAGTTTCTTTTTTTCGTCATTTTTAATGAACAAAAAATACATGCATAATTTACTGACTAGATTGGACACATTGATATTTCACTAATTAAAACTGATAAGAGACTGAATTTCCATACGTATTCTCTGCTATAGGTATACATTCATGAAAGTCAAGTAAATCAAACCTTGTAAACACTCAGTGATTATCACAGTGATTATCGGTGAGCACAATACTGTAGAAAGTCATTAAAAATGAAAACAATGCAAATTCCTCTGTTACAAACGTCGAATACAATAAATGTATCTTGTTATCATTGTTTGTAAGCATGTATCTTAGCAAGACCTTTCAAATGAGACCCCGCAGGATTTTCTAGCTCTTATAGAAACTGAGCCATAAAACTCTAAATTTTTGATGATTTCAGCAAGGGGATGGCAAATCTTTATGGACGGTAGTGTATATTAAGAGTAATTTATGACGGAGAAAAGCTATTTGTCATAGTAACTGCGAATTTCTATAGTACGAGTATATAATACACATTAATGTAACGGTCATATCTATGAGCTAGTTTATTATGTCACCGAACCACCGCAACCCGCCAAACACATGTATCTGTTTACACAAATCAGCACATTAACCCATTAAGGCCCATGCCAAACCTGGGAAAGATAGCGCCAAACTAACTATGCCAATCGTAGCTAAATCGAAAAAAAAATACCCGTGTTTTTTCTTTTGCCATTTTCAATTGTTTATAAAAAATTATTTAAACAAATTATCAAAAAGTTATTATTTTCAAAAAACTGATAGCGGCAATCGATTCTACGGGAAAAAACATGAAAGAAATGTATATAACGTTTTTTTGTCAGACGTCAATTTGTTAGTGTAAAACGGCTATAAACAATTGCAAGTCTGTCAGGTACATGTGTATACGCCAAATCCCAAGCAAAATCTATTGCCGATAGCGCCAAACTAACTATGCCAATCGTAGTTAAATCGAAAAAAAAAATACCCCTGTTTTTTCTTTTGCCGTTTGCAATTGTTTATAAGAAATTATTTAAACAAATTATCAAAAAGGTATTATTTTTAAAAAACTGATAGCGGCAATCGATTCTACGGGAAAAAACATGAACGAAATGTATATAACGTTTTTTTGTCAAATGTCAATTTGTTCCAAAAACAAATAACTGTAAAATAGCGATTTTCTATAATATAGTACATTCAAATTTCTATGAAGCTTCATCCATGTGGTCATTTTTGTGATCATTGCATACAACTTTAGAACATTGTTCACAGTACAGCTGAGTTCTTTTTTTACACGATGAAACCTCACAATGTAGGTACTTACCTATTTTTATTTTGTGTTCGTTCGATGAACTATCACTATGTCTTTTTTGTCTGACAGGGCGGTCTCTTGAAAACTTAGCGAGATAATATTGGCAAACTTCTTGCACAAGGTCTTTCGTTCCCTTTGGTAATTCTGGATGAAGCTTATTATAGATGACGGTAGAATTTGTCAATGCTGCCTGAATAAGTCTCACAAAGAGACACCACATCCATTTCTTACTTTTAATTGTAGGCGTCAATGCATTGTAATGTTGATCATGCAGATCAACTCCACCCATGTATCGATTATACATTGAAAACGCTCGAGGGAAGAGAATTGACTTCTTAGATGACTCGTGCCATCTCTGTACTTCAACTTTTGGCTCATCACCATATTTCGTTGAAAGAACTGATACAGGTTTTGAGTACATAACAGTGATATAATTCAAATTTGAATTACTATCGTGCAAAGCCATAGTTGTACCCCTTTCTGCTTTTTTTGGCATCTCAACTTTTTCTTTGACTCGGTTTTGTCTAACAGTCCCAGTTGCTGATAATCCTAGTTTATCTAAATGAACCATCGGATCTGGACTTGTGAAAAAATTATTAAAATATATATGATATTTACGAAGATCATCTTTGTCAGTTACTTCTAATACAGGTGAAAGTAACTTCATGACGACTCTAGATCCCAAACCGACGGCAACTAAAGGATTTCTTTCATCAATTCCAGCTTTTCCCGTATAAATATCAAGTTCATATATATATCCATCTGAGGAGCAAAGTGCCCACACCTTGAACCCGAATCGGATTGGTTTATTTCGTATACATTGTTTTATTCCGAATCTGCCATAATATTTGACCATTATCTCGTCTATTGATAGATTATAGTCAAAAAAGCCAAATTGCATACAATTTTGACGAAAATAATCATACAGTGTTCTTACTTTCCAAACTTTGTCGTTTTTATTCTCATCCTTCTTTTTATAAAATTTAATATTTCTCTTGATTTCAACAAATCTATTCCTTGTCATGAGATTAGATATGACTGGACACTGTAAAATTAATTTACTTGACCAAGAGTCACGAAGATTCTTCCTAGAATTTATTATAGTAATCATTAAGATTACCATAAATTTTTCTAGATCGATCATACTAAGTTCAAAATTATTTTCCGCTGTAGCTTCAATTATATACTTTTTCATTGAATCTGAAAAATATATTTCAAATAACTCTACAGAGTTCTTAGAAGATAAACACGAAATCGATTGAATACTGAAGTTATCATCAGTATCCATAATTGTAGAGTGGCTTGGAGCCTCTTCTTGCCATTTATAGATATGATTATGTTCTAATAATTTTTGCGTACTAGTGTAAGTATTTTTGACATGTTCATAAGAGCCGGTGGGAATTATTTGAGATGAAATATCTTCATCAAGATTGCAATCAGAATCTCCATCTGAGCTCTCATGATCTTCCGGTATAAAAGTTATATCTATATGTTGACAATCATCGATATCATCCTCCTCAACTAATTCTGCTAAATTTTTTACTCTACGCCTTGGCATTTTCACTTATCAATTATAAACAAAAAATTATATTGGGACTACAAAAATCAGATCACTACCCAACACGACAACTTATACTAGAAATATTTGTAATGAAAACTGAATCTGTAAGATTACATGAAACCGTTAGCCCGCCACTCAAACGTGATCTCTAACACGGTTTCAATAGAAAAACATTTTGCAAACTCAGTAACCCAAAAATTAGCCTATGTTAGTCAAATTTATAAATGTACTAGAAATGTCCAAATATACTAAAAACTTTTGTAATGAAAACTGAATCCATAATATTACATAAAACCGTTAGCCCGCCACTCAAACGTGATCTCTAACACGGTTTCAATAGAAAAAAAATTTTGCAAACTCTTTGCAA